GTTTTGACGACTGAAGAGGGCAAAGTCTTGACTGGTGGCTCCAGAATAAATTCTTTTAGTTTTTTTTTTTTGACCTGTGTGCATCTTTTTCCATTATTTTCTGCATTAGGCAGAGCACAGCTACCTCAGTGCTGTTATTAAAACCACCACATGTATCTGATCACCATTTTACTCATTCCAAGTGTTGAGGTAAGGACCACGTTTTGGTGTATACACAAACCTGTTGCACACAGCTGTTTTTTATTTATTAATTTTTGCTTTATTACACATTTATTTTCCTCACACGAAGATAAACTGATGTTACTAGTTTAAATAATTTATTTCCCACACCTGTTAAATGTACTTGAAGAAAACACATTTCAAGTTTGCTCTGTTGTCAATTAAGCCTGTTTGTGTTCATTTTCCTTTCTAAATACAGTCAGTTTTGTTCGTATGTAAATGTGCATATACTGTACTTGAATGTGGGGGGAAAGCACCAAGAAGCTGTTAATTATCAGCTGAGCACAACATGAACGGTTCAAAAAGGACTCCTTAAAGTTGATTGTTCAGTTTGTATATGTGTACATAGCACACAGAATAGAGTCTATGTATATTTTTTGTTGATATGGAAACACTCCGTACATTTAATTGAGTTTACTGCCTCTTCTCTGCATGCCTGCTTCAGCCAAACCCAGAGTGGTGCTTGGACTGTGTTTAAAAGCTAACTGCTGTTTCCTGTTTCTGCCGTCCACTTGTTTACTTTAACCCTTTCTTTTACAGTCCACTGATTACTGTGCAATTACATAGTACTTACATGGTAAACATTTTACTATGCAGTTACTTGTAATTACTGTAATTTACTATGTAATTACTTGGTAAGAACATATAAAATACTATGTAATTAAATAAATCTTAGTGGGTAATTTTGTTACAGTTAAATTTTAATAGTATCTCATTTGTCAACAGATTACAACTTTATTTTTACACATTTTACATACTTTTTCATACATATTTTACTGTAGAATTACCTGGTAATATACTGTATTACAA